CTTGGGAATAGGAGGACAGTGTACCCCTATACTTGGGAACAGGACAGCTCTTGCCGACAGCCACCCTTCCCGTGGTACTGTGGTACGAGCCCTGGGAACACCCACATGTGTGAATTGTGTTTGTGTTAGTGTTTTGAAATGAGCCTTTTGGCTTCTCAGTCCTCCAAGCATACTTACTGAAATTACTATTGATATTTTTATTGTTGTGGTTGCCTTTGAGCTCTGATGAGGAAAGAGCCCGTAAAGAAAGGGATGAAAAAATATTTCTGTCATCCAATTACATCATGACTGTATCTGTGTGTTTTTGTACTAAGCTGATGGATATGAGCTACGAATGAGGAAGGAAGAACACTATGTGTTCCCGGAAACGGTCAGCCTAGATGGCATTTTCTGGCAGACAGGGCAGTGTACGACAGAGGAAGGAGCCAGACGGCTTTGCCTATAAAGCAAAGATTGCTCAATACACAAGGAAAATCCTGTCCTGCAGGCTTAGAAAACTGACCTTTTTGGAGCTTCAGAAGGATTTTGAGGGTGCAGGAGAAGGCAAGGGCAGGCAGGCACATAGGCGTCTCCCTTCCTTTTTTTTTTTTCCTCACAACTCTTGACGTTTGTAACTGTGCCTCTAGCCTGGTACTGCCTTCATAAGACATAAACTAATGTACACTAAGGCCACTAAAATCACGCCCAGGCCAAGCTAGACTCCAGCTTCTGGGCAGGCGCGGAAGTCTTGAGAGTAAGCTACTGGGCATGCTCAGAAGGCTTTCTGACCGCTCAGGCGATCCCCACTGCCCCACAGACATGTGACATCCTTCCCAAAGTATGGACTACAGTGATGCTGGGGGAGATGGGAAAAACTACAAGGAACATTTCGAAGACAGAGGGACGTGGCGGGCTACCTCCCCAGGAAGCTGGCCGTGGCGGCTAGCTTGGACAGGTCCCTTGGAGATCACCAAAACAGGTCAGGCTTTGGTCTCATCTTATAGGCTGGCCCTGGAGCCAGGGCGCCCTCGACAAACACTAGGCTTCCTTGAACCCGATGCTCCATTGCCCCACCTCAAGTCATCACCACTGACTAGGAAACATCAGCATTGCACTGACCTGGCACTGGCCCAGCCCGAGTACAAATCCCTTGGCCACACTATGCAGCCCCTGCTCCCAGCGGCCGCTGCCACCCATGTTCCCAAAGTCTTCTCCCCTCCCCCACCCCCACCCCCAGCTCAAGCCCAGTTTCCGGCCCAGCAGTTTCACCTTCTGTCTTTCTCTTGCAGCTTTTCCCTCTGAGTCTCATACTTCCCCTGCTGTCGGGACCCCTTGTTCATGATTTCCCAGACAGGCTTAAAGCTGAAAAGAGGCGTAGATGAAGAGACTAGTCAAGGGTTGCCAAAATGGTGTCCTGTGAACTGCTAATCCCAGGAAACGCTCCCTGACCTCCTGGTCTCCATGGTCTGTCAGATTCCAGGATTTCTGGGTCCGTGGCTGTCCCGGGCCTGGAGGCTACTGCCCTGTGGACTCCTGCGATGGTCTCTCACCCACCTCCTCCCTACGGTGGCATGGCCTTTTGTCTCTTGTTTGCATTTTTCCAGGGCTGCTAACATCTTGTTTCTATGTTCTGAAGAGCACATTTTTAAAAAGTGCTGATTAGATTAATTCCTCCCCTTTACACATGAAGTTAATTTGTTAATCGTTGCCTCCCGAGCTGGTAAACACTGGAGGCCCTGACTCCCAGATGTCAGTCAGTTTCTCTTCCTTCACCAAAACAGGCCCTTCCACCCTGGCGGAAGCTGTGAACCGACTAGCGTAGGAACTGTGGGCCTGGGGTCTCTCCTGCTCTGGCTCCATTCTCCTACCCTCAGCCTGTCTCCTAAGTCTCTTCCGGCTCTTCCAGTGTCCAGTATGGTTATGTGTGTGTGTGTGTCGGGGGGGGAGGCCAAGTTTCACCTCAAGCCTGTGGCTGGCCTGAAATTAAGCAGAGCAATCTCTCCAGAAAGGTGGGGAACTTATCAGAACAAGGGGAACAGCCCCCTTTACTGTCTCAAATGGCCTCTGGGTATCTCTTTTATTTAGTTAAGCTTGGGTCAGGTCTCAGATGCCCCAAGAATCTTGAGGAATGGACATATAGCAGCTACCAGGAGACTGTCTCCTCTAAGACAGTCCTCACTGGAGGCTGGCAGCAGCCTGGCTCCCTGGAGGACCAACTCACACACCTCTGTCAGCCCAGGAAATGGATGCTTCTCTGTGTAGCACCTTTTTTGTTTGTTTGCTTTGGTTTTTTGAAACTGTAGCTCTGGCTGTCCTGGAACTTGCTCTATAGACCAGGCTGGCCTCAAACTCACAGAGATCACCTGCCTCCCGAGTGCTGGAGTTAAAAGCATGTGCCACCACCGCCCAAAGCACCATTTTCTTAAAAGTAGGAGAGAGGTATTCAGAAATGGTCCAATTTTCATCGAAATAATGACCCAGCCTTGTCTCATTTCTGTCCTGGACTGCAGGGGTTGGGGCACTCCATGAGGAGAAGCTTGAACGTAACAAAAACCAATTCCCATGTTTTTCTAAGACTCCAAACTTGGAAAGGAGTAGGCAGGGCCAGATTTGGACTCAATATCTGATAAGAAGCTTGGGGATTGTTGGGGTCCCACCCGGCTTCTTTTCCGGACTCACCTTCCTCTCTGGAATATTGGAGATGAGGAAGACAGCAAAGGCCTGGTGCCCGCTCCCCCTGCCCAGCCTGTCCACCTTGGCCCTTTTCCTCCGAGACCACTTTATGTATAAGGAAGCCTTTCACTTTCTTCGATGGAACTTCATTAAGGAAATTTCTAGTTCCTCAATCATTCTAGGTGGGGGATAAGAACTGCTACAACGTCTCCAGGGAGACTTGTAAGGGATGCTGGGCTTACTTCCCAGAGGCCTCCAGCCAGCCTGTTCCCAGGAGCTCTGCTGATGGAGGATGCAGGGAGGAGCAGGCTCAGTCTCTAATCTAACAACGGTATCTGTTTCCCATGTGTGTACCATTGGACAGAGAGGACAATCAGGGCCATCAGAAAGCTGTGACCTGATTAGGATCCAAGGTGAATTAAAAAAAAAAAAAAAAAAAAAAAGTCCTGGAACAGAATCTAGCCGTCTACCTTCAAATAAAAGGGACTGTACTGGGGACACTTGAATTGGCCTGTTGGGAGGTCAGGGCAGTTCTGCTCTCATAGATACAGATATAGAAGAATGATTTGTCAGAACAGCAGCTTGTTTTGTGGGCATGATCTCATTGTGCATACCACCTCACCGCCTCAGCTGATAAGAATCTGGCGCTGTTTCCTGTAGTCCAAGGGTCTAGGACAATAGTGTGAACGGCTGGCCCAAATGGAAAGGACATTGTTCAGGGAAGAAAAAAAAAAACACTCCCACACAAAGCCAGGGCAGGATCTGTCTAAATGTAAGAGCCTGTTTACAAATTCACCATTTCCAAGGAGTGGGACACAATGGGGGACTGTTTCCTTGAGGATGGTGTCTCTTCTGTCTGATCCTGATGGCTAGGGATGGCTTTGATGGCCCAGACGGGTTTCAGATGCACTGAGACGGATGGACACTGATGGCGCGGATGCCTTCCTGTTTATCAGGCCTGCATGCAGGCTGGGGTCAAGAAGCCGGGGCCAAGGGGGAGGGGCTGCCAGGCTTCACTCCTCCATCTGGGCCTCATGATGTCTGACCCTTTAAAATGGGTTTCCTTGCTTAGTCACAAAGGAGTCTTCTTTCATCTAGGGCCTCCACGATGCTGTGATTCACCTCCCGTCAGCCTGGATCACGGGGTGGGGTGGGGATGGAGGTGGGGGTGACACTGTGGAGATGCTGCTTTTCACAGCATCACTGTCCTGTCCATGCCCTTGGACCACCAACCACAGACTGGTGGCTGTGTGTGGGTGTCTGCATGTGTGCACATAAGTGTATGTATATGTGGTGGGAAGGCAATTCAGAAGAGCAATAGAACCATACTGAATATCCCTTGGGACTGGAAGTCATTGGTTGGTGGTGGGGGAAGGCAAGCCAGGGTTAGGAAGGCCACTTTGAGTCTAGAGGAACTATAGAGGTTGTCTTGTTTAAGGATTTGACCTGAGTGGTAGTGTCATTGTTAGCTTTAATATTCACCTCTAACTCTAAACATAAATACATTTTATGAATAAACTTGAACTAACGTGTTTAGAACAAGTGAGCACATTACTGCTAATTCCCTAAACAGAACCAAGGTTTTCATAATCTCATTCCTCAACGTGCTAACACTGACCTCTGGTGTTTAATACCAGAACAACATGATCAAGAACCCAGTGTGGACAGATGGCAAACTGCCACGGAAGGTACCACAAACGAGAAAAACTGTAAAGAAACAGGTCTCTGACTGCAAGGGGCTTCCAATCCAGCAGTAGAGGCAGACCTACAATTGTAGGACTGACAGAGGACATGGGCTACAAGGGCACTAGCAGAGACCAGAAGTGAGAACCCAGCGACGAAGAGGTAGCCATTGCGTTCAACAGGCTAAGGATGAAAGTTAGGGCCTTCCACTCTGGGGACCCGAGGCCCCGCAGTTCAGAAAAGAAGAGGGCAGCATGCCCATGGGTGGGGTGCTGTGGGAAATGCAGCTGGGCAGGGCCCTGTTTGAGAAAAGGCCACGGACACCAATCCT